AGAACACGGTTAACTACTTGAGGGCGCCACCACAATAGACAACTTGCAATAAACACACACATACAAGTTTCTTATAGAGTACACGGTTGACCACTTGGGGGCGCCACCAAAATAGAAGCCTTTCAATAAACACAGTTTAGTTTTTAATTGATAGTTATTTCGGTTCGAATCCTTAGACATCAACTCAATTAGAAGTCGGGGGGGGGGTCCGTAGGAAACACCGGGGATGTTCAGAAATACATTTCTCTTCACTTCGCTCGCGGTATAAGACATAGTTAGAGAAGCTACGTGAAAAAAAAAGGGGGGGGGGTCAGCAAGCAGAAATCCAAAAAACCACAGACTACTCAGTAGCGAGTTTTTACACTAAATGAAAATTTTGATTATTGTTTGATATGTCGGCAAATCCATTGGATGGGGAGCTACAGATCCAATACCGCAAATCCATTGGATGGGGATCTACAGATCCAATACCCCAGAATTGTGTCGTGGGAGGAAAATGGGAGCACCCTGAGAAAACCCCACTTTCACTAACGGACGCCGAATAATCTATCCGGATAGTATCTGAGCTGTGACATAATTTGTCCGGATAATGTCTGATCTGTGACATAATCTATCCAGATAGTGTCTGATCTGTACCATAATCTATCCAGATAGTGTCTGATCTGTAACATAATCTATCCAGATAGTATCTGATCTGTGACATAATCTATCTGGATAGTATCTGATCCGTAACATAATCTATCCGGATAGTGTCTGATCTGTGACATAATCTATCCGAATAGTATCTGAGCTGTGACATAATCTATCCGGATAGTGTCTGATCTGTGACATAATCTATCCGGATAGTGTCTGATCTGTAACATAATCTATCCAGATAGTGTCTGATCTGTAACATAATCTATCGGGATAGTGTCTGATCTGTAACATAATCTATCCAGATAGTGTCTGATCTGTAACATAATCTATCCGGATAGTGTCTGATCTGTGACATAATCTATCCGGATAGTGTCTGATCTGTGACATAATCTATCTGGATAGTGTCTGATCTGTAACATAATCTATCCAGATTGTGTCTGAGCTGTGACATAATCTATCCAGATTGTGTCTGATCTGTAACATAATCTATCCAGATTGTGTCTGATCTATAACATAATCTATCCTGATAGTGTCTGATCTGTGACATAATCTATCCAGATTGTGTCTGAGCTGTGACATAATCTATCCAGATTGTGTCTGATCTGTAACATAATCTATCCGGATAGTGTCTGATCTGTGACATAATCTATCCAGATAGTATCTGATCTGTGACATAATCTATCTGGATAGTGTCTGAGCTGTGACATAATCTATCCAGATAGTGTCTGAGCTGTAACATAATCTATCCAGATAGTGTCTAAGCTGTAACATAATTTATCCGGATAGTGTCTGATCTGTGACATAATCTAAGCAGATAGTGTCTGATCTGTGACATAATCTATCCAGATAGTGTCTGATCTGTGACATAATCTATCCAGATAGTGTCTGAGCTGTGACATAATCTATCCAGATAGTGTCTGAGCTGTAACATAATTTATCCAGATAGTGTCTGATCTGTGACATAATCTATCCAGATAGTGTCTGAGCTGTAACATAATCTATCCAGATAGTGTCTGAGCTGTAACATAATCTATCCAGATAGTGTCTAAGCTGTAACATAATTTATCCAGATAGTGTCTGATCTGTAACATAATCTATCCAGATAGTGTCTGAGCTGTAACATAATTTATCCAGATAGTGTCTGATCTGTAACATAATATATCCAGATAGTGTCTAAGCTGTGACATAATCTATCCAGATAGTGTCTGATCTGTGACATAATCTATCCAGATAGTGTCTGATCTGTGACATAATATATCCAGATAGTGTCTGAGCTGTAACATAATATATCCAGATAGTGTCTGAGCTGTGACATAATCTATCCAGATAGTGTCTGAGCTGTAACATAATCTATCCAGATAGTGTCTAAGCTGTAACATAATTTATCCAGATAGTGTCTGATCTGTGACAGCAAGTTTTAAACACCCGAGACATTTACTATGTTGTTTTTTTGCGTCGAATCCAAGTATAGCTAGATTTTAGAAACCCAGAAATAAATGGTTTGTCAAATTACTATCGAGATACTAGAAATATTTTGTAGTGGTAGCTAAGCCTTAATTACATTAAGATTTTGTAGTGGTAGCTAAGCCTTAATTACATTAAGATTTTGTAGTAGTAGCTAAGCCTTAATTACATTAAGATTTTGTAGTGGTAGCTAAGCCTTAATTACATTAAGATTTTGTAGTAGTAGCTAAACCTTAATTACATTAAGATTTTGTAGTAGTAGCTAAGCCTTAATTACATTAAGATTTTGTAGTAGTAGCTAAGCCTTAATTACATTAAGATTTTGTAGTGGTAGCTAAGCCTTAATTACATTAAGCTAGTTTTCAGAGCTTGGAATGTTTTGATGAAAGTGGAAGCTTTAACTAGGCCTAGTTAATTTTCTATAAACAGAGTTTGGTGAAGCTAGTCTAAGCTATAGATTATTTTGGTAGTTTTTGAAATATTTTTTTATATAAATAAATACATTGAAATTTACCAGTCTGAATTCAACCACTGACGTTATTTTGATTTGAGAATGGAATGGTGGTGGTAAAAACATCACACACAAAAACAGCAAATTGGAACACTTAAATGAATTAATTTTTCACAAATGACCCCAGGTGTATTCAATGGACTGCTATTTCCGACAGACATGGTGGGACAAGCGATTGGTGTTCGAGAGTAATGAGCTGGAAGTCCTTTCCATGGACTGGAAGTTCCTACAGAGAGTTTGGATTCCCGATACATATTTCTTAAATGGAAAAAGTTCATATTTACATAATGTGACGGTCCCCAATAAGTTCATAAGGGTTCGTCGAGATGGTCAACTAAAATATTCTATGAGGTACGTTGTACTACTTTTAGTGTTAAAGCGTTGTGAATGTTGGTATTATCGTGTTTAATCTAAACCTATGTGTAAAGAACGTTATTTAGTAAACAGTCGAAGGATTTAGTCAGTGTTCAATCTCGTGATGAGTTAACTGATTTAGTCATTACTTAGTTTTGTGATGAGTTAATGAAGTTGACCGGTATTTAGTCTTGTGATGAGTTAATGAAGTTGGACAGTATTTAGTCTTGTGATGAGTTAATGAAGTTGGCCAGTATTTAGTCTTGTGATGAGTTAATGAAGTTGGACAGTATTTAGTCTTGTGATGAGTTAATGAAGTTGGACAGTATGAGTTAACGAATTCGTCCAATAATTAAAAGATATTTAAGTGCTGTTTAGCCTATATTCTACTCTTCATCATAACACAAAAATCACTTTTCTGATCTTTATTTCTCCGAATTGGGTAACCAATCACAAGCATCCACTTACTCTAACTAACATATATCTATCCAATCACAAGTATCTACTTATCTACTTACTCTAACTAACATATATATAACCAATCACAAGTATCTACTTACTCTAACTAACATATATCTATCCAATCACAAGCATCTACTTACTTTAACTAACATATATCTAACCAATCACAAGTATCTACTTACTCTAACTAACATATATCTATCCAATCACAAGTATCTACTTACTCTAACTAATATATATCTAACCAATCACAAGTATCTACTTGCTCTAACTAACATATATCTAACCAATCACAAGTATCTACTTGCTCTAACTAACATATATCTAACCAATCACAAGCATCTACTTACTCTAACTAACATATATCTAACCAATCACAAGTATCTACTTGTTCTAAACATATATCTATCCAATCACAAGTATCTACTTGCTCTAACTAACAAATATCTATCCAATCACAAGTATCTACTTACTCTAACTAACATATATCTAACCAATCACAAGTATCTACTTGCTCTAACTAACATATATCTAACCAATCACAAGTATCTACTTGCTCTAACTAACATGATAATGGTGTATTATTAAGATCTTATAACTCTTGTAATTTTTATCATACTTAGTACACTAATGCTTAACACTGGTCTTACCTTTATTTACTTACACTACCATTGTACGTTTCTATGTACTCAACCAAGTTTTCAACTGTCTTCAGACTTTCTATATTCATACTGTTTTCCAGACTGCTAAAATCTTACTCATCGTGTGTTTGATACTCTAAGGCGTAATATGATGTTTCTGTGTTTAGTTAGGTTCTTGTTTTTAGTATTACGCAGTGCTCTCTGTATGTTTCTAATTGTTAATATTTTATAGTTTTTGTGTTTAGTAGAACTCTTGTTTTTAATATTACGCAGTGCTCTCTGTATGTTTCTAATTGTTA